TCTTAATCATCGTTTAGCGTCCAAGTGAATCATCATGGACGCTAACATTCTCAATAACTCTTATAGAGCTGCTTCAACTTCGAATTTCGATCGATATGCAGTAGAATTTAGATACTGAACTTACCTGATGAGTCCCTTAAGCAAGGACGAAACCGGTCGTAAGTCTCTCTCGCTCATGTATCTAAATCATAAATTCTTGAGCTTCTATACACACCCACCCACCCACACCCTGAAGATATATCTTGTTTTGGATTTTTGTTCTAAAAATTCAGAATAGATTAAGCCATCTGATGAGTCCTTCAGCAAGGACGAAACTGATCATGGCAGCTCAATCATAACTATTACACACCTACTCTTATGTTGGTGCTATCTACTTATATATTGAGTAGATTTTTAAAGTATTATGTAGGGATTCAGAAAACTTTTATTAGTCTTTTGGATCTACTCTACTAATACTTAGGCCACTTGATAAGATTGAGTCAGAAATATCGAAATAACTTAAGTTATCGTGGTAACTATTACACACCCATACCCACACCCCTAATTGATAAGATTACTTCAGCTGTAATCGAAACGCGTCTTGCTAGCTTTTGATTTGATTATAATTAATCATAGTCTGCTAACACACCCACACCCACACCCTCATTCTACTTAACAATTCGACTTAATCTTAGTTGAACAGCGTAAAAATTTTATCTCGAATTGATTCGTCTTTGAAATTTTCTATTTCAATTTCGTAATCGACTTAGAGATACTAAGCCATCTGATGAGACTATCTAAGCAATAGTCAAAACGCGTTGTGGTTGCTTCTACACACCCACACCCACACCCTAATGATTTGTATTTGTATTTTTCCTTTCGACTTTATTTAAATTTTGCTACTAAATGTTCATTTACATATTTTTTTTTAATTATTATTTCTATGTATACACACAAATAGAAGTCTACAGTATAAATATAAACTATTATTTATTTCTTCTAGACGTATTTATACATTTTCACTTTGCTGCACTTTGATTCTTGAGACGGAATGCAACATCTCACTTTACCTCCGAAAAAAGAGTGCGATATCTCGCTATATTTCAAATTCTCATTCGGAACGCTGCTGGCTCGTTAGTTAATGTTTATATATCTCAATACCAAATAAAAATAAATTTGCTCATCATTTGACTATTTTTAACTCTACAATAGTTTTTAATAAGAAAATATCACTAATTATGCAATCATATTAATGAGAGATAATCATTTCAGAAAAATAAAAGTTTTATGTCACTCAACCCGAATGGGTCGAAAATGACCCATAATGATTTAAAGGATGGTGCCCGTTCTAGAATAATTTGCAAATCCATTTGATCTTTCTTTCAAAGAGGTTAGTGTAGTAGCACTACGTATCAACAATTAGAATGTTTGAGTACTCAATCTACGTAAATAAGAAAAAGCAATAAATTCAGAAAACCGATTTTTTCACATTTTCGAAAATTCACAATTTTTTCACTCCAATAAGTCGTGTAAAGAATGATTGAGGAGAAATTCTTTTTTTATGCATTTATAGCTCATTCAATTCTCTATACAAATATTTCACAATCTTCTCAATCAGTCGTGTTTTTACTAACTTATGTAAATCATACGAATGGGACGAAAACGACCCAGTCTGGGGTAAAGGGTTAAACAGAATTGCATGCTAATGGTGGTGACGATCATTATAGAACAGTCACACCATTATTATCAAGTTAAAAAGACAAATGTATTAGCATTTTTTATTTAGATTTTTACAGTTGAAAAATTGATAATACTCATATTGATAAATATACGATTAATTCTTTCACACTTGAATAGTTTATTTATTAAAAAAAATGAAATCTAAAATTTTCAATGATTATGTTAATATGAAGTTAGTTAAGGAGGGAGAGTGTTTGTCAAAAATCGTGATTAAAAAGAAATTTGTAAAAGTCCAATTGATTCGTTCTTAAATTTAATTGATTGAAATAGTTTGCTTCGACTTATCATAGTCTTGTAAAGTTGAGTTCTATTGGTTCTTGATTTGATGAATGTCGTCTTAAGCATACTGTCAATATAATCGCAACTCCAGCAATGGCACCAACAACAGCAAGAACTGTTGGTACAATAATTATGACAAGATCCTGTATTTTTGAAGGTCTTACTGTTGTTGTAGTAAAAGAACAAGCTGTTTGTTGAAAAGTATTTCCGTCACATGAATAAAAATGTGTGATATTTGTAATTGAACTTTCATTTAATGTCGATGTAAGATTATTTTGTCGAAGTGGTGAAAATGGATTTGATATTTGTTGGCGTACATGTTCAAGAAGTGTATCAGCACTTTCGATAGTCGTACTATAAAGCTGAATTTGAGCTATAATATTGGTTAATATACGCATATTAGTTGGATTTATTGTAATATTTATTCTATTCGATGCTGTTTGAAGTGCTGAAATAAATATAGAAGTAAGTTGTGAACTAAGTTGTGAAGAATTTATATTATTATCAATAGAATAAAGAATAAGTAAAAATTGAATCAAATAATTTGATAGAATAGCTTCTGTTGTATTTAAGGAAGGGCTTAACGAACTTGAAATATTATTGGAAATTGTGCTATTTGTTATATGAACTGATATAGGAACAGTAGAACTATTTGATTGAAATATTGAAGTCAAATCATGTGATATTGTTTGATTTGATGATGATTGAAAAGCCCATAATGATGTGTGCATTGGAAGAGATGTTGATTGTGCCAAATGAGTTGTTTGATCAGAGAGTATTGTTGATTTTGAAGTCAATTTTGATATTGGAGAAGTTGATTGAGAACTTTTTATTGTTGAAAATATCTCTTCTGAAGTTGCAATTGTTTGTTGTCGACTTGTATCTATATGATCAGTTGTTTGAAAACTATTTTGTAACCCAATTGTTGATAATTGTTGTTCAACGGTATTACAAAATGAACTTAAAATAATCTCGTACGATCGTGGCAATGATGATAACATATCGAATATATGTACAAGATCTTCAATTCGATCGCCTGAATTTAAATGATCAACCGTATGAGTTAACCAAGTGTTTATTGTTACATCGAAATTATCTTCGATACGTTTCGAAGAAATAATCCCATATTGAGGAAAAGTATTGTTAATTGTGCAATGAATAAACGAAGTATTCGAAGTCGAATTAGTTATTACTGTAACAATCAATCGTTGAGTAACGGGATCGATTGAAAAGTACTGAACAGGAGAAGAAGGTTGCATCGGAATGACAGGAAAATATAATGTTGCATTTGTACTACTATACACAGTTTCCTTTCCATCGTCTTCAAGAACGAGATAATCGACTTGATTGTCATTGAGTTGTTCGACTAGAATATCGAGTGAAACAACATGTTGTAATCGATGTGTTGTTAATGATTTCAAAAGTGATAATTTTGGATCACCATTTGGATTTGTTTCTGTAAATGATGCATTGAATTTTCTAAAATAACCCTTAAGTGAACAAATTAATGTCCATGTTACTATTGATGTAGAAAATGGTTGTAAATCTCCAAGTGTTGCTGATAATTCAATTCTTGTTTGTTGTTCTCGATTGACTTTCATTCCTATCATTTGAAAACTGACCAATAAACCTTTTTTATTATCAATAATTGTCGGTTGTCCGCTTGAAATACGAAAATTCGTTGCCGATCCAAAACCACTATTCGTAATGACTGTCCCAAGTATGAACGGTTGTGAAGCGATAAATTCATTTGACAATGGATCAGGTCCGATGACATTTTCTTCGAGAAAGTAGGCAATATCAAGAGAAGCTTCGGGTTCAACTTGAATTGAATCAGGTTGAAGAGTTATGTTGACATCTTGTCCACCAACTGTATATGAAAGTTGTCCACCTACTCGATACCATGTAGTTTGTGTCGGAGCAGCTGATGCATAGGGAATAATTAACCAATCGATCTGAGCAGAACTACTCGCTGGTAAATTTCCATTACTCAGAGCACCATTGATCGTTGGTTGACCGATACTAAATCGATCGGTAGCATTTATTTGATTATCTCTTTGAACAATATTTAAAGTAACTTGAACATTATACAAAGTATCTTCACCGTTGTTATCAATTGTCAATTCAGCGTCGAATCCTTGACGAGTAATTGTAATACGTTCAATAATTCGAATTGTTACTGTTGCACATATACCAATTGGTAAATCCTTATGTACTTTGTTGTAATTATTGTAAATGGCATCCTGCGCTTCAATTAGATTGGAATATCCTAATGAACGACTATAATTCCAATCTGCTATGTATTGTTGACAATAGGCATACAGCTGTGGTAGATTCAAGAAAGGAAGAGTAGGACTCGTCACATTGCTCGACTCAGTAATATTCAACGAATACCAGTAAACAGTTCGGTTATAATAGAGTAGATACTCACTGGTTAAACTACTATTGACGCATCGATTTGGAATTGTCATTAAATCGTTGTATTCTTGTGTACTCAAGAGATAACCCATTGAACTCGCTGATTGTTGTGCTCGTACCAATGCGTCTTCCCATGAGTCATCAACACAATCGGCATCAATCCAAGCCACATTACCGAAGATAAGCGTGAGCAACTCTCGGAAATTCTTCATCGCACGAGCAATGAATTCAAGTTGTACTCGTGAAATATCATCTAGATCATTCCAAGAGCTTCGTTTTTGTCGTCCCGATTCCGAGTCAGACAATAGACAATCACGAGTAATATCAAACAAGCACGTAATACTTTTAAAAATTTTTCCGATTAGTTTTAGATACGGTAGTGCCATATTCCAAAGTCGTCGTCCCTCATGAAAAAGGCTAACTAATTCATCAACTGATGGCAAAGACATCGATCGAGCATTGGACGTTAATGTTAGTGAACAAGGTCTAGTTAATTGATCGAAAACGAAGATAACTAAAATCATTAAGCAAAAGTTGTGTTGTGAAAGCTAGATCCACAAAATCTTGATGTTTTCACATAAGAGAAGAAAGATTTTATACATTTTTGAAACCACATTTGCAGCCAGTGTGGACATATTTTCGATTATATTCTCTACATAACGAGAAACTCAAAAGAGGTAGTGATTTATTTGAATTTCCTGGAAATTCAACATAAGTCTCGAGATCCCACAGTTCTTTTCAACTGATCACGATGTCGTATCTATCAATCCTCTCTCTTTCGTTATAGTCGTATTGATACAACCATAGAAATATTCCAAGTTATTGAATTCAATACTTATCCATATATTATGTGATCAGGTACATGAAACCATCTGAGATTCTATGGATATAGTTGTGGGTCAGGATATGGGCATAATAGGCATAATGGGTATACGTGTGCTTCGCGCAGTTTAGAAATAAAGATACTCGTTGTGGATCAAGTTCTATTGGTTGTTTGAATCTCTGGGGATGTCCATTTTGCCATTATGTCCATTACGGCATATATACAGGGTGTACCAAAATTATAGACCCCTTTTTATTTTTGAAATTTCTCACTGAAGATAGACTAGCTAGATCAAAAGTAAATAGTGATTTGAATAGCCCGTGAAATTCTCTATCGAAAACACTATAAACTAAAGTTTCAAAAGCAATTTTGTAATGCGAGTTTTTCAGAAAATCATTCCATTCAAAATTCGGGTCCTAGAAGGATTGAAAATAGTGGTTTTCAATATAGCCATCTGAAAGAGCAGAAAATTCTGAGCATAATAAGAGGCCGCCCAACTCTCCACGATGTTCCGTGGCAAAGTTATAAACATCTCAAAAATCAAAAAAACTGCAAAATTCATGAAAAAAATGCTAAAAATTGGTTAAAAACATGCTTTTGTCGGGGTGTGTGGGTGTGAATGTGGATGTGGGGTGTGGGTATGGGTGTGAGTAAAGAGAGTTATGACACCCACACCCACACTCACAGCGGAATTTCCTGAAAATTCAAATTAATCATCATGTGACTCAAAAATAATATTTCTGACATTTGATTGAAATATCTTATCAGTAAAAGATTTTTTGACAAAATCTTTACAAGATAGATATGTATTTACAATTTTACAGCAAAATGTTACAGTGAAAAATTCCATGAAAGAGATTGTATATGACATCTAAATGAAGAAAAAATCAAGTTCAATAACAAACGTCCAAAGTATTCTTTATTAAGAGTTATTAACAAACATTAACTGAAAAAATCATCGTCTAGATTTTGAAAAACTATCTTCAATCTATGATTTAAAAAAAAACAGATTTTACTTATAATAATTTATGCTTTCAATAGAACAAGCAAAGTTTTGTCAAAAATTGACTTATTCAAGTTGAACTTTTATTGATTTTTACGATTTAGAAGGGATTTGAAAAATTCTTTTTCTCTAACCGCACGCAATCGATAAAACTTTTCCTATTGTTTGCCCGATTTTTGAAAAAGTAATCATTCCGTGAGCTATATTGGCTGATACAAGTATCACTTTACATGATGCGAGCAAAAGTATTTAAAACTACGAAAAATCTATTGGAACTGTGTTGATAACGAATGAGTTTTTGTCGGAAAAAAATGGTTTATTTTTCCCATCCTTTAGTATTTCTCGAGTTGCTTGTGGTATTTTGCGTCTTCATATCTCACAAAACGAAATTGTTAGTATCTTACAGGAAATTCATCGGAAGAATCGTTTCGTAAAATCATCCGTTCAGTCAACTGTATTGAGGGAAGGAATATTCGAGATTATTGAAACTATGAGTCATCCGTTGTTTGAAATGTAATATTAAGATTTTTCCCTGCATGCCTTCTTTACATTTCTGAACTGTGCTGTCACATATTTTTGAAAAATAGAGATTTCGGACATCAAATAATTTTCAAAAGAACTTTTCTCTACAGGGTGTCCCAAAAGTCCGGCCGGAAAGTTAATTTGAATATCTCTTATACAATTCAAGCAATTTAATTGATTTTTTTATAATATGTTAGTAGATTCTTTAAAGTTTTATTTCACATAATTTTTATTTACAACAAATGTTCAAAATGATTACCATCAACTGAAATACATAAATCCGTCGTTTCCGAAATCTTTAAAAAAAATATTTAAGGAAGTTTATTTTCGAGCTAATTTCTTTTCGTTATCGGCTCTTATTTTGAATTTAGCCAAATCTTTATATATATCTTACACGCATAGGGCTTCACTTTATATTTATCGATAAACCATTTAAATGAAAAAGAGACTTTGTCTGAAAAAAAGAGCTTTCGTGATTGTAGATATTTTGTAGCTTGCGTATCAAAGTGATATAATTTCAACTCGATCTTGTGAATCTTCTTCATGAAGTTGTAGGACAAATTACACCCTGTATGGACTCATTAGATGATATTCAATGATAATTCGGCCTGCTATTGTGCGTGGAATGACGCAGACTGTTGCAATAATCCGAACACTGAATGGTGGCACATTTTTACAATTATCATAAACTTCACCGATTTTCTCTTCTGTAATTTTTTACGGTTTTTCATATTATTGTCTATTTAATACTATACTCATTTTGCAAAAGCCTTGAAAAAACATCAATAGTACAGTCTGTGTGTACCGTTTTAATGTCAAATTCGACTTGTATTTTTCCTTTCATAACGATAGGTGGCTCAAATTTGACTATTCACAAAACTATTTTAATTCTAACGTTTATAGGCACAGACATTTATCTGAAAATATACAAAACTTTAATGAACCTACTAACATATTATAAAAGAATCAATTAAATTGCTTGAATGCATAAGAGATATTTAAATTAACTTTCCGGCTGGACTTTTGGGACACCCTGTAAATTCATCATGCACAGGAACTTTTCGGCTTTCGAACGGTGAGTGTTATCACAGTTTGAATACAAGCTCTTGTCGCTACACAGTGCAGTTTGCTGAAGAACTATGTGGAACAAGTCTTGCACCTCGGTACATAACGCGAGGACATAGAAAAAAGGATTTGACAATTGGCAAACGTGTTGAACGCTAGAAAAGCAGACAAGACATGCGAACGTCCCAGTACACAAGATTTTAACCAAATGAGTTGTTTATTTTCTGGCGATAGAGAAACGTTTCGAATTTTATTTCTAAAGAAAATCGCTGTTAGCGCAATCCTGGTGGGATTAAAATGTGAAGCACTATGTCTATCGTTTCTAATTACATGGAAATGCTTTTTTTAGGTATGTTGGGACACATACCTTCGTCACTGCTAATTTCACCTTCTAGCACTGCAATAAGTAAGTAGTTTATATTTATATATTATAATCTGGAGGAAGGGAAATGTGTTCAAATTTCTATCTCTATACACATCAACACTCCTTTCAAATTGTGTTTCATAGAAGTTTAAGAATACCATTCCAAATATAACACAAGTTGCTTCAATACAAAAATTTACCGTTTCTGTCAGAGAAAAATGACAGCTTTTGAAATTCCTGTAATAAGAGACCTGTTTCATATCTTTTGTGATTTTTTTTTATTCTATTTCTAAGCCCTTTGGTTCTGTAGTATTCCACAGGACTTTTAAAAACAGAACACAAAGAATTTTCCCACCGTTTCTGACTTTTTGAACATTATTTCGGATTTCATCAGGTTTTCGTAGTTTTCTAGGCTTTATACGTGAAATTTCCGAAAATCTAGAGCGACTAAGCATGTATCGATTCCAAAATCAAACTTAAAAAGTTTCGGTACCGGTACAGATTTAGCGAGGACTACTGTTAGTCCTTTGTAAAAACGCTAATTTTATTTTACATCGCAATAAAAATTGTTAATTGTCGAGTCGTATTCTTAAACGTTTTCTTTATAAATAATAACTTGACATTCTACTCTATCATCAGAAAACAAATCGGCTCATTTGTCTAAAACTGGGCGAGGATATTGGATTTCTTTATTGGTCCGAACTTTTGAAACACTGTGTACAAATCGATATAGAAGGCATAATCGAACTACTCACTGATATCAATTGCGGTTCTCGTTATTGATGCATATGGTGTCCATGAAATTATGCAATTAAGAATGCTGGTGATGCAATTGTCGCAAGACAATTCTACCAACTTGATAGGAGGGTAATAAGTTATTGTTCCTTCGATAAGACCACCACCATAACCTCCATCTCCCCAGAAATCTCCTACACCACAGCCTAGTTTTGTAAATAGAATTACTCCACCAACAAAATGCTTTGTATCACAAATATAAAAACCAAAAAATGGTATTATCAAACTACAGATAGTTTCTGTTGTTCTATTACTTCGACTTACATTTAAATGTTCGATAGCAAGTGATACAATAATCGATGAATTAGCTTCAATATTACCAATAGGTAATTGCTGAACGGAAAATCTCAGAAATGGATGAGATATCGGCAAAGATAATTGTAAATCATTAAGTCGAATGAGACCATAATTAGTAAAAGTAAAATCAAGTTGAGTGATACCTTGTTTAGTCTCAAGTTCGTTAAGATCGATTGTCGTTGGTGAAACAACGAGTACAGGTGCAGGAACATAGGCCACAAATTGAGCGTCCAATGTTATAATGTAAGTTTGATCGACAGAAACTTGTGTCACTTTAAATGTATACGAGACGAGAATGCGTTGAAGAAAAATAAGAAATTCATTATTTGATGCCATATTTCGATCGACTGTAACAGCATTTCTATAAGATGAATGATTGCGAGCTTGAGCACTGATCTCATACGTGCCTGCTACAAGTGATATAGTTGCTTGTCCTGTCTCATTACTTTGAAATACATATTTAACATTTAGATCATAATTAACTAAAGTAATCGTTACATTGGCTAGATTCAATAGATTATTACCAAAATAGGAAAATTCATCTTTGCATACAATATTTAAGTCGAATAATGTTTCATTACTACCGACAATTGTCAATTGTATGGTAAATGAGTGAGTAATCAAATAAGTATTATCACGAATAATACCTCGTAAAGTAAATATACTCAATGGAGCTGAATCCGATATTTGAATAGCTAGAGTAAAACTAGCATTACCATATTTTTCTATTGTAGAAATATTTGGTGTTATCAAATATATATATGTTTGATCGGGTAAAAGAATGACTAAGGGTCCGAGACGGAAAGATCCCGTATTGTTAATTGTAATCACAAGTGTCTGTTGAGAATTTCGTGAAACAATAAAGTTTGATGATGATGGATTAAGTTCGAATTCAGCTCGATCAATAATAACATGAACAGGAAAAGTTAATATTGCCGGTGTGATAATTTCGTTTGATAATGTAAAAACTAGATATCCCGAACCACTTTGATTAAATTGAATATTGAAATCGATTGAACATGTTGTAAATGGAAATATTGTTTTTAAACTACAATTCGATGATGAAATATTGTAAAATGGAACAATTTCTCGAGGACTAATTAACGATAAAGTTAAATTATCAATTGTATAATTGGAAGGATTTGAAACAAAGGCTGCCGAAGTAAATGAATTCATATAAATGTCTCCTGCTTTCATTTCAATTCTATCCGTAATTAAAATTTGAACAATCTAACCGAGTAGAGTCAAATAATCTTGTGGAATATTATTCAATTGATCAGCAGGATGTTGACCGCCAACACACAAAGTTCCATATTCATTTGTTAGAGGAGTATAATAAACGGTGAATGTATTCGATCCATTAGGTATATTTATTGTAGATAAATATCGACGAACATTATGAATCATGATCCATACATTTGCTATTCGATTTTGTGAAGATATTGTTCGATTATCGAATATATTGATTTGTCCAATAATTGCTAATCTAGTAATACTATGCGTCAATATTTGATGTGATTGTCGAAATTGAACACTAACGTTGTATGTCAAAGGTACGGATATTGAAAAGGTTTGTTGAGAAATGACACCGGTTGAATTTTGTAAAACATTAACTGTGATGATGTAGTCGGTCAATGAAGCTATTGCTGATGTCCATGGTAATAATGAAGTCAATGAATCAATTGATAGACCATTCGGAACATTTCCGATGAAGAGCCATGCTAAAGGTAAATCACCTTGTATGAGATATTGAGATAAGTTAAAACTTAATGACGACATTTCGACTAAAGTCAAATTGGGTATCGACATAAGACGAGGTGGAATTGGCAATGATGAACAATTTTTTCCGAAATATGGATATCGACATCGGCAATTACCCATGACACATTCTCCTTGGTTGCAGCCGCTTAATGGACAACTAGGCAAATATCTATATATTAAAATATTCGCGGAAAGAACGACAGAATTATTTTGTACGAGACGAACTCGAATAGATTCGGCTGGATGAGAATTAAAGACACATACCATTTGTTGAGTATTAATGAATGCTGCCGAAATGGATATCGTTTGATTTTCATCATTTAATAGACAGAATGATGATACATTTCGAAAATTGTTACCAGTTAAAGTTACAAATGTTTCGTTAGTCAATTCAAGACCTGATGTTGGCGATAATGAAAAAACAATTGGAATGGCCTCACAATTTGCACCATAATATCCTTGTTGGCAATATTGACATAATGAACCATAGATTCGTATATTATCGATACAGTCACAAATGGCAACTGAACTGTTACATCTTGCTTGACCTCGAACGCATACTGGACATTGAACACATGATGGATATGCGAATAGATTCGAAGCACATTGTTGACATGAATCACCAGAGTATGAATTCGTACATGAACATGTTTCATTATCAATACAAGATCCATAATTATTGCAATTATTTCGTGTTCGACAGCTCCATTGACTATTAAGAATAAATGCTGATGAAGCTAATGTAAATAGTCGAGATTCATGTACAGAAAAAGTCATATATTCGTTTGAAATTAAACAATTCAGAAGAATTAAGAGTGATACATTTATACTTGATGATGCTGGTAAAATATTAATCACGGATGGAAAAAATGAATAATATTGAATACATTGGGAATTATATGTCAAATTTATAGTGACATTTATCAAATCAAAATTACCTTGATTTTGTATAGTAACAAATTCAGTTAAAGTTACTGGATAAGCTGCATATATCCAATAGATCCATTGAGAAAATGAAATTCGAATATATTCAACGAATACAACATCTTGAGCTATCGGTGATAGCATAAAAACGGGATGTGAAGCAGCAATTTCTAGTTGACGTCCAAAAAAATTATTCGATAGTTGATAAACTCCACTAAACTGTCCTTGACTATCACTAGTCAACACTGTTGAAATAGTGTCATCTATCCAAATCTTTATTGGAATATATGGTATAGTTGCACTGCCTGAATATTCTAGAGTAGTTGTAATACTAGCTGATACGTATTGATTAGAATATTTCCAAATTACTGTTGCATTATAAGAAGGTGGAACTTGAATAACAACTGAAAGATTTGTTGTCGATATAGCATTGGTCACAATAATTACGAAATTGTAACTTTCTAACGAAGCTAATGCTTGAGTTATATTTAAGATACCTGTTGATTTATTTAAATTGAGATGATTGTAGTAGAAACTCGCTATTTGCTCAAGACTACTACTTTCAAAAGAATATTGAAATGGTGAACTGCCTGAGAGCATGTACGTCGATAAATCAATTGTTGTTGTATTGAATTCATTGATAATAAAAATAGGTAGTTGACTAAATACGAGTGGTGTCGGAGACAATTCACAAGATACACCATAGTAAGGAGGATTGCAAACACAGTTACCAAACTCGCATCGTCCGTTCGTATTACAGTTTGTGAAATTCGGACATGTAGCAATTACCTGAAATGG